ATGCTGCCACCACACACGGGCAACGGACCGCAGACAGCGGTGCTCGAAGGCGGATAGCCTGCGCATGTCATCTTTACTAATGGGCCAGGTCTCGCATCCGTACAACAGTACAGCACGGACACACAATGGACCCGCCTTTGATGGAGAGACGAATGTCGTGACGACGCCGCAAGTGCCTCAGCCTAGAAAAACACGAGGCGTGCTCTCGAGATGCGCTTCGAAATCTCCTCTGCAACAGCTCCGCCAGCACTGATGCAACTGCCCAAGTAGACAAAGCTCTCCACAACCTCTAGTGTCTCACCAGCAAGCGTGAGTGCAGGCAGAGTCACCTGCCAGTCTTGGAAGAGAGCCTTGCATTTGGTTGGCGAAAAGTACATACCATACTTTGATGCTTCAATCGCCAAGTGGTTTAGTGCAAGTTGGACGACGTGTGAATCGTCACCCAGCAATACGATATCATCAGCATAATCCAAGTCAGCAACTCGACTACCTGGGAGGAGCTCAACGCCAGCGTCCAACGAATCGCCCCGAGCGTTCTTCAGGACATCCTCAGTGGCAAAGTTGAATAGGAATGGAGAGCTAGGGCATTCTTGTCGAACTCCACTGGAGATTACAAAGGTAGGCGAAAGCTTGCCATAAGCCCTAACCCTGCCCGAGGTCAGACTATATAGAGCGCGCAGCAACGATTCGCGCGTTTGGGATAACCTGCGAAGTATGATGGACACCAGCAGCTTGCAAACGACGGGGACTAAGCTTATGCCTCTGTAGTTGGAACAGATTGTGCGCAGGCCCTTTTAGAAGATGGGGACGACTATCGATTCACCCCAACGACGACCAAATTTTCGAGCACAAAGTGGTGAGTTCTCGAACCAGCGAAGCGCTACCATCTTTAAATGGAGCTGGAGGGAGACCATCAGGTCCGGGGGCTTCATAACGCTTCATGTGCCAGAGCTCTTGCTCGATTTCCTGGGAAGAGGGAGGGTCTGTTGAGGTAGACCAATCGGCCCCAGCGCGAGCGCCAGAGGTAGCAGATGGAGCTGGGGGCCAACAAAACTGCGAGCCAAAATGTTCGGCCCATTGCTGCAACCGTCGTTAAAGATTGTTGATTAAGGTGCCATCCTCTTTGCATATTGTTTCACTTATACCAGATCGAACACCTTCGGTGACTCGAATGAGATTGAAAAGTTTTCTGGTATTACCAGAGAGACTAGCAAGCTCCATCTCCCTAGCACGTTCACACCACCAATCTTCGCGGTCCATTTGCAGAGTCCTGGGCAACGCTCGACCAACTGATTGGCGTTCTTCACTGTGTCTGGAATCCGACGGGATGAATCAGCGTTTGTCCATCAGCGACAAGGAGACGGCGGAAATCCAATGCTTCGGTGGGTTACGAGCAAATCCACAAATGTCGATACTGGCGGAAACTAAGGCATCTTTGATATGCGCCCACTGCGAATCGAGATCACCGTCAATAGTTGAGCCAAGCAAGGTTGACAGTGAGGCTTGCTACCTGATTAAAGTCGCAGGGTTTTGTAGATTTGCGATGTCCGGTCGGTAAAGAGCGCGCTTAAGTGATCCTCCGAAACGCATGCAAATCTTAGCACGAACCAATGCGTGCTCGGAGTCTTGATAAGTTGACCAGTACGATCGGCATTCCGTTACGCTTCCGTGCCATCTGTAGCTGGTTGTTATGTGGTCAAGCTGGGAGCACTGTTGCGTTTGTGTGGGCGGGCGCCTGGTAGCAGTGTGTCTCCTCGAGTGCCGAAAACTAGTGCTCTAAAGATACAAGCGATGATCAGAGCAAAGAACAAGCAGTCTGTCTCCATTGTCTGATCGACTGCCACCGAGACCAAAACTACCCCCAAGGTGGTGTTTGCTTGGTGGAAGGCGGCCAACCCGCGCGTTAAAGTCCCCAGCACGAATGACTATATCAGTTCTTTTGGAGGAACGCAGAAGTTCATGTAGCTGCTGGTGAAAGTTATCTTTAACTGCATTCGGGCTGCAATCTGTATGGGCGTAGGCGGAGATGACAAACAAGGCACGCTTAACGTCTCGACGCCTGCTTACGTTATATGAACCTCGTAGTCTGATTGCACATAGCCGACTGTTGACTGGGATCCAGTCAAGCAGAGCTGATTCAGCTCTAGCGCTCAGCGCAACCCCAACACTAGCTTAGCCAGTGGCGACAGCTTCTGGGTCTCGGGAAAGCCGCAAGTGGTATTTGGCGTCAGGATTTACCAGAGAGGCCATTCTGGTGACGGCGCTAGAGTCTTGTAATCTGGTCACTGAAAGACAACAGATGTCTACCGAAAGCGTTTCAATAGTACAGGCTAGACTTGCTTGTCGTCCGATCTGCATCAAAGTTCGAACATTAAACGCTGCGAGGATGAATGGAGAACCGGGTCGAAGAAGAGCTGAAGCTTCGGTGGAGTGAGAGGCTGTTGCGATCGCAGGACATTGAAAATCGGGAGTTTGGCTGTTGCTTCCATCAATTGCGAGACGTGGGTCATTTGTGGCGGTAACCGAAGAAGACATAAGGGTCCATATAGGTGAAGGATGGGAGGTGGGATGATCTGAGAGTTGAGATTGAGCAGTGGAGTTGGCATAGCAGGAGCAGTATTAAACAGTGTGGTTCATGATTCTTCAGTGGGCGTGATACTACCCGGTTGCCCAGGCCGAAGTAGAGGGTTGTCTTAGGGAGCCCTACCTCGAGCCTTTGATCAAAGGCAGCAAGGCGATGTGAGGGCGTCGCAACCCGTTGGGAGCTGCTGACCATATAGATAGCTCATACGCCTTTCTGTCCGTGAAGGACCAGGGGCCTAACGCACCCTTGAAGTACAATGCCTCTCAGTGAGGGGCAAGGGGCAGTGACTTTATTTAGTGGTGAGTCCCAGCCGCCACGCCGCAGTGTTGTTAAACAGAAATTGGTAACTTTTTATAGGGGGACCACTTGCCAGGCGAAAACCCACCACGTCCTGGAACACTGCCGCCGAACCATTTGCTGGAACGGGAAAAACTCGGACCACCCAGCTGGCACCACGAGGAGGTTGTTCGGCAAGCCAGCCAGCCCGTAGGACAGGCAAATCCAGAACCGGATGCCGCCAACCATATATATGATATTGAACACTTGCCTAACAGTACAAATGGCAGTGTCGCAACATATGAATACAAAGCAATAAAAATGCGGGGGAGAATAAACCGTAAATCAGTAGTCAAATAGTACCCTCACAACATGTTCCCCATTGTGCACGGTTTCTTGTCATATCCTTGTGGGTTTCCAACCTTGTGTACTTGTGGTCCTTGTGTCCCCAACTTGGAAGTCCAGAGCGCCAGATCACCGCTAACTTTTAGGTTAACGCCTTCATAGCTTGGGTGTCAACTTTTAAGTGAATTGGGTTTCATTACCTGCTTTGCGATAACTGCGCGCGCGGGGTGAGCACGGCGAGGTAAACGATGAGTAGAGACGCGAAGCACTTGCCCAAACCATCGTTGCCTGTGCTATGAAATTATGCTGCTTGGCGACCGGAAAAGTCTGTTTGATTAGAAACACAGAACATCATTACTTATTTGAGGTTGCCAACCTATACCAGTAATTCTCCGAAGGCATCAATGATTTAAGCATACGATCTATGTACGTTTCTTGAATGAACAGGTCTGGTCTCGTAACCGTAGGACAGAGCAGCTCTTACCGCGGCATTGCAGATTCAACCCTTCAGAGAGAGATTCAGGTCGCGTCTACGGCAGCAAAGGCAGAGATTAGCAAAAGCAACCCCAGTTTTGGGAGACGTACAAGGAGTTTTCATCAGTTTTTGCTGGTGCAGCTTCGAGGTATTCACTGGTCTTCCAGTTCCAGAGAATCACCTTAAAGGGGTAAGGGTTGAAACAGTTCTTGGTCATTGCTGCAGGAAGGCTACAATTCAATAGACGAAAGTCATTCTTAACTGCGAGACGGACTCCTTTAACCTTTACGGCACATTTTGGGCGGGCTATGATGAATCGCAAATTACAACCATGTCTCTCCATATTCCAAATCGCGAAGGCGGTCCACCGGAAGTAGCTCAAGGTCGCTGAGTTCGCATTTATCCATTGCCCTCTACAGGATGTCATCCATCGCGAAATTGAACAGGATTGATGATGCTGAGCAGCCCTGTCTTACGCCACCGTTGAGACTACCAGGGGGGGGAGCGAACTTCCACCGTACACGCTCACTCGTCTCGAGGTACGTAAATGTATGGCCTGAAGACGGTTGACATGCTTCTCGGACACTCACATTTTCAACTGACAAACCCAGAGAACTGCTCGAGAAACTGAGTCGCAAGACCATATTACACTTTGCATATATCGAAATCCTGCATATGGTATCATTATTCGTCTTACCTTGCACTGCAATGCTGTACTTGGGGTTGTTTTTATTCCGATCCCGTTATGTGCGTACTGCCATTTCCGATCCTTGCTCTGTTCGCCTTAGCCATTATCTAACTCACGCATCTGCACCCTATTTCCTGTTGAATATGTAGCCCACCATCCCGAAATAAGCGTTTAGGTTTACACAACACGAGACTGATTCTGGAGGCCATATCTCCAAGTACTCTGCATGTGGATCACTTGAATGGTATCTCTAGCTTCACTTTGACATTTTCCTCACTCGGAATCCGCACATCCTTTATAAAATTAGCTGATACACAAAAGCTTAATAGCGTTCCTCATGGCACTTCGTTATCACTAATAAACGATCTCGCACTCATGTATTCTTAGGACATCCTCTCTACTACATTTTCATATTTTGTTCAACACATTCTTCCGTCTAAGTGGAGACCGGATCCACATCTCTTCTTTGCTATTTCCGTCTTCAGGCTCTGCTGTATGCTTAAACTAGAGTCGGACGATGTCGCGAATCAGTTTTCAGACAGCCGGCGAAGGCGGATCTATTCATTCTGTTCCTTTGTTCTAACTACCACTTGCTTATCTTTTGAATTCCTGATCATTTTTATTATTATTTGATGTTCACCTGCTTTTTCCGAGCGTATTTTTGTGTTAAATGTTGCCATTTTATCCGGCTTTCGTCCATTTTCAGCCTCACTGACGTCTCTGTACCGCGCTCTCCGTGTTCCCGCTGTCTTTTGTGGTGTTTCCACGATGTTCATCGCGCTGTAGTCTCACTGCCAGCTCAGGTGCGTCTTCTAGTTCTCCTTTTCGTCTATTCTACATATTGTTCATTCACACTCCCATCGCCCACATTTCCTTGAAAAATTAAGCTTATCCACTGTGCAAACATTATCTGCTTTTTCCTGATATCACGATTGGGGTTTTTAAAACCTTCCCGCTGTTGTGAACGCATCCTTACCATAATTCTTATGCACATTATTACTCAATATGCATCCGTTTGCCACCATTCGATTGTTCAGCAAACTCAAACACAGTCACTTAGAAATCCGATGGTTTATCTGTCAGTTTACTAATAGTTTCGGAGAATTACTCTGTTACTCCATATCTAGTTGTAACTCAAGGGAATAACCCTAAGGGACATGTGGATGGGAGACACGATTGATTCGGAGCCGTGCACATCATTTGTGTGAAATTGGGTTATAGGTACTAGTTCACTCGACGGTGGCTGGACCGTAGACCGTTCCACACTAAGTGGAATCAACGTTTGAGCGTAGCACCGTCACAAGGACCATGCACGCTGTCCCACCAAGCAACGACCAACTGCCTGCTGGGGACAACCTAATTGAAGAAGCGGTTTTTCGACAAGTAGACACCTTGTCAACATCCACATCCAGCGCAACCTGGCATTGCATATCACACAGGATGTGTCAAGCGCATGCCCGACGGGCAATCAGTCGCGTTTAGCCCAACGGAAAAGGCAAAACATACATGCATCGTCATTCTAGGTCTAGGCGCAGTGGCATTGCGAATCCCTTATACTCACGTATGCATGTGTCCACATTTGTGTATGAACTACTGCAAACTCCAGATAAAGAATAGCTTTATGGTACAACGTCTATGTTTTGGTACCATCGAGGTGAACCCACATTATCGGCAGCTTGGTTCCGAAGGTCTGCTGGTGACTTTCGCGTACCCGACTTTTCAGCCTACCAAGCGCTACACTTGCGCTGCTCCGGATGTTACGAAATTTCCTTGAGGTTTCCAGTGCTTCGTCAGCATTTTTGCCTTGTAAACAGATAACGGACTGCATTCCTGGTGCCTGTTCCAAGCTACGGTTTATGGTGAATCCGAACCTGACCGTCGAAGCTTGAGTCGTCGTCACGCGTCTCAACTCATCCTCGCAGTCGTCTGCCAACAACCTTATTTAGGAGATTGTTTCAAGAATTATGCATCTTACCCCGAAATTACGGTTGTTCGACAATCCACGAATCATCCGGTGCTCTAGATGGACACTGCTCTAAGTTGGTGAATTGCAAGGTTGACCTACTCCTGAGGTCACCGGTTCGCATCCACATTGATGCGCTCATCCTAGCATTTTACCCAGCCCTCGCGGGACCAGTGATGGTAGCTTGGTAGTGCATCGTCGGTACGATGTGCTGGCCTACTACTGACGTTTTATCTACATAGTAAATAGGGTAAATGCTAAGTCATAACCCCCTTATTAATGTGATGGCATTCTATTCGACCAACGTGCACACTATAAAATTCAGACTTAGTCAACATCAGTCACTGCGTCTCGCGGTTCACTGCGCCAAATGCTCCTAAAGTTGACGAACAACGAGTACAGGGATTAGTTTCGCTCACGGCACGTTTCTCGGATTCGATGAGCCATGAACACGATGTTGATTACACTGCCGTTCTAATCAAAGCCACACTGCCCATCCGTCATGTTGTACTCGAGAACGTGAATGATGAGGTAGTTGAACAGGATCCGGAAAATCACCTTCCCGAGGTAACTTAGCAAGTTGATTCCGCTAATATTGTTGGCACACTGCCGTCTTTCTTTACCTGTTCAGTGGTAGAACAGTGGCATCCTTTAGTTCTGAAGGATTTGCTCTCCAGTCTAAATGCGTTTCATGAAGTGGTGCCGCGCATGTGTCATTTCGGACCCACCGTATTCCGGTCCAGGAGTGTGCGCGCTTTCCAGTATCTGATATTACGTTTGCGCTTAAAAGCTATGGGACGAGGACTTGGGGTTTTAAATAAATAAATAAACTTTTATTCTCAACAATGCGCGGCACATCTTTCCAGGCATGATCATGTTAAGCTAACATGGTTGGCGGCATCCGGTTTCGGATTTGCCTGTCACTGTGGCAAGCCACAGGACGCCTGCGCCTACAGAGGGACCATGGATGGCTTGCGCTGCACCACCCACAGCTCCAACCACATACCCCATATCCAGTGTAAACCCGAAGGAATAAGACCGGGAGGCATGCGGATGGGAACCACGTTTCATCAACGGAGCCGGCCCACACTCCTTCAAAGGCAAACACAAGCACGCTGTATTTGGGGAATCAAGCGCACACAAGACGGTGGCTGGACCGTAGTCCGCTCCACACTGAGTGCATGGAACCGCACTTTGAGCCTAGCACGGCCACAAGAACCGTGCACCCCGTCCCCTCCAGCAACGACCAACTGTCTCCTGGAGCCAGTATGAACGATGTAGTGGGTAATAGACAGGTAGGCACCTTGTCAACATACACATCAAGCGCAACAATACCAGGGATAGCAAACAACAGCCATTCAATTTAAACGACAAGCTGAAATAAAATAAATCCAATAATGCATACAGATACGGTGGCATAACTCTTCGCTAAATTACCAGATGGAGTAAGTTGGTCAGCAACAAATCCATGATAAGTAAGAAATGTCCACAAGTTACTTAAAATGCTACAAACGCAACAAAATTACCGAAGATAAGCACAATTAGTGTAAGCAACGTGGCCAGTTAATAGAACATTATTCAGGTTGGCAGAACAAACCAAATAAAGCGGAATGAAATTTATCCAGCTTAAAAAGACCTAGTTTAAGTGTAAGTTGGTTTGGCCCAACTGCGGTGAAGAAGCATCAAGAATGCAACATCAGCCTCAGCATAGTGTGATCAGAAATGTACAAATATACATGTTTGGCATGACAGTGAATGTGTGTATGGGTGTATGTACGTATGTAATTCTATATGAATGTAACTGTATAACTTGTGTTTGGGAATGTGCCGTAGTATTTTTGACTGTTTGTAGTCGTCAGTAATGGGAGAATAAGCGATTGAAGTCCGTGGGTTGGATAGCATTTTCCGGATATCCAAGAGTCAGTGACTTTAGTTTGTGGCGAGTCACATCCGCCACGTTGCAGTGTTGATAAGCAGACATTTGTTGCTTTTTATAGGAAGAACGCTTGCCAGGCGAAAACTCACCACGTCCTGGAACACTGCCGCCGAACTATTTGCTGGAACGGGTTAAACCCGAACCATCCAGCTGGCACCACAAGCAGGTTGTTCGGCTAGCCAGCCTTGGTAAACTTGTTTAGGTCATACGTAAGCTTGGGGAATGTAGAGGTAATAATGATAGCGAAAGGGTGGATGCAAGCGGTAGTAATTTTCGGTTGTCCACCCTGTTATAATCAGCAGACCATTTTCCCGCCACTGCTCTACGGCCGATACATCATGAGATTATCAATATCTGAGCAGTTCACTTGTGTGGTTGAGCTGATATACTGCCAGGGCATCTACACCTGAACAGAAAAACGACTTGGGTCCTCAATCAATACTTTAGATAAAACGCTCTCTCGAGTGGCCATAGAACAAGTCGTCACTCTGTCGACTCCTGATGGATGTGTCCTGTCTCTTACCTACCTAACAACATACTCTACCACATCCCAATAGTAGATATGAGAAGCATCCAGTACCTCATTTCATGGCATTGCCCGAAGAGCAGCATGTCATTGGACCATAGGGGTGTCTCTAATGAAACCCCCCGCGAGCTGCTGATTTTCATGCCTGTATATATGGATATGTAAATGAATGTGATTATTTATTTGCATTAGCGAGTTGTCTGAGCTATAAGCGCGATTTCATTGGCGTCAGGCACGAACGCTGCTAGTACTCGCCTACAGCGTCTGAGAATTACTCTTGTTCGGGTCTCCCAGTCTACAAGGTGAGAACTCGAAAACCCAAATTCAACTCAGGAGATGCACGCATATTGTGTTCAGTTGTATACTCCGGTTCTCCCCATACGGGTCACACGAGGACTTTCAGTCGCATTACCTGGCCGGGCATTCTTCCCCATTCTCTGACTGATTTTGGTGCCCTTAACTAATCCTCCATTTATCCCGTTTCCTTGTGAGTTAGGCACTTGAGTTGTAGTTTAGAGATGGGGTAACTTCCTTCTCTGATTTCGCAGCCGTAGAGGATCATATGCATACAGAATTGCATCCGTATCACAGTTTATTCTATCTGTTTGCTCTCCATTTCTGTGTTTTTCCTCCCAGGGTAACTTGCTTTGTGACCATTGCCAACTTCGTACGCTATCATTCCACATATCGAGGACCGCAATGAATCTTCCTTACTTCAACACTTGCCCATTTTGCCAACGCGGTCAATATGCAGTCTTAGCCTTCACTCTTCGACATACGGAAGCGTTGCCACCAGCGCTCCTAATCTAGCTTGCGGTTGGAATATTCTAACGCTCCAGCATTTTCTCCACTGTGCATCCAATTTTTGTCAAAATCCCGCCTACATGCACTTATTTCATCTGGCTCGACGCGCTGCTTCCAACTCTCAATATCTATGGAATCTACGCATAACAGACTACTATCTTCCGTCGATTTCGACGTTTTCCCTCTTCTCTGCTGAGGCATAGACGCAAAATTTCATTCGCTTTGCGTCCTGTACCACGAATTGCGACCTTTTCTCAAGACCCAACTGTAACAGCACAGTCGCTTTCGGTAACTGTATGAGGTAGGTACAGGCGGCCGTAAAGAGATCTAACGCTTATTTTTCTACTGTTGTCTCGGCCACTGTGACAGCCATCTTCTGAAGTCTACCCACCGACTACAAACCGCCAGTGTCTATGCCACGCGGCGTTCTCACTGAATCGATAGGCTGCTGATTGTTCCAACGCCTGTCAAGATTCACGTGCATCCGTTTGTGACCTGTCAGGAGAAATCAGGAAGGCATGTGTTGTCCAGATTGTCAACGAGTGTATTATTGTGTGTGACACCACGACCTAAGGCTGAGCAACGCGCTTGGCATTGGTGGAAAGCTCGCGTTCTCAAAGTAACAGCGTGTGTGATTTGAAAGCAGAGATTCAACTATTTCGCTGCAGCGTTATTTTCGTTCATCACTGATTCGTCCACTTTCATTTAGTTGCAATTTTACCAGCACGTTACTAAGCGTGGAATTCCTAATGATCAGCAGTTAGCACCCATTCTCATAGTTTATTTTATTTTACCTCCATGTATTTTACACTTCGTCTCATTCTCATGTCTGCAGTAAAACCCGCTCGATAAGGAAAAAAAATTACAAGCCAGGATGCTTTCATTTTAGTTCCGGAGCTGATACAGCAAACGTAGGTGCCCCGCTAGAAGCAGTAGTAAAGGAGATGCCCGGAGGAGAGTAAGCGCCGTGGAAAATTCCTTTGAACTTCCTGTTGACTGTAGAAAGACACCTGACAATGTCTTTCCGTTGCTGCAATTGCATGTGTTGATCTCTCGTTGATATGCTCAAATCTATATTGAGGCCTCTGCAGTGTCTAGCTACCTTATTTGTATCGCTTTCAAATATTGATAAAATACACATCACGCAGTGCAATGTACTACTAGACTCGATTTCGACCGAAGTACCAAATCGAGTGCCCTGTTCACGCAGTGGGATGATTTTTGATCTCCTGGACAAGCCAGCATTAAAAACTGTTCGGAAAGTGTTTTTCGCTGCATGAGGTATGCAGTCTTATTAGTCTAATTGCATCAAACTACGCAAAAGCCTAATATGTTACGCATGTCCCATACTTTTTTAGTTTGCCAATGAACTAATGGCTAAACAGTTCATTCAAAAGGGCACAGTATCATTCTGCTTAGTACGACTTTCAAACCTTTTCAAATTGTGGATGATGCATCCCCCTACAGCCAGAGATTAAAAGGCAACAGGCGGAGACAAACCCAACTATTGATATTGCTCCACTTAGTGGCCACAGTAATTCTGAGAATGATACTCCGCTTGCTGCAGATAAACATGATGTAATGAATACTAAAGATACTTTGCAATCTGCAATAGATCGCATGAATATGCGGACCACTCTAGTGCATTAGCTGCTGTGTCTAGGAGACCGCCCGATTCCGGTACTTCGGAAGTGAAGTCAACGTCAGGAACAAGAGTGGTTACTGTATATCTTCCACAAAGCAACAGTTTCACGGCTAAATATGATAAGCCGACCAAGCCCAAAAGGACTACAGTCCACAGAGCTAATGATGTAGTTGGTGCTTCTTCTCGGAAAATCAGTTCTGGCGGTCACACACTTTTCTAATGCGGTTTCCTGCATTCAAGGTGGCAACAATATGGTTCAGCGAATAACAACTGCGTTACCCGCTGAATCTCAAATGCCAGGAATACCTCTGTCTCAAACCGATTTTTTACACCCACCTTAAATCTACTCTGACCGGTGTCTATGCTAGTCAAAGATGTCGATGGACCTAGTCAACTTGATCGACAGTAAAAGGACGGTTAGCCTAGATTTGTCGCAATTGTTTGCTTGGATAGACACCCATCCATTGGTCATAGTCATAAAGTTATACACGACTCCACCACATTTGCATTTTAAACAAGAGGTATTTGGGTACCATTAGTATCTGGTCGTGTTTATGGTGGAACACGGAGTATGCTGCTCTTGGTGTATGGATCAACACTAGTGTGCAGCCTCCACTGGGTATAACGATGCCTAGTGGTTCCAGCGCCCTAAGCAGATTTTACCAAACGCTGGATATGTTAGTTGCCCACTGACTCCTATCAGTGACCTACACAATCACCAGTGTGTCAGTGCCTAGATGCAGATGACACGGCCCTTCAAACCGGTATCCACAAACAAACTTGTTAGAAGCCCTCCTCTTAACTCTCTTGCTCTTATAGGCTGTTACATCAACTGTGGGCTATTTTTTGCAAACCATTTCCCAGAAAGCCATATTCAGTCACAGCCGCCTTCGCTATGGCCACCTCCCAATCAGTTCACGCAATTCACGCCTTTGCCCACGCAGCCACGATTTGTAACCCCATAAAGCTCATAAAGCAGCCCAAACAATCTTCCTTATATCTCACAACGATCTCAATATTTTCCATCAACATTCGTTCTCTTCATTCTATGCTCCACATACTGTGCTCATTTCTTTTGGTGAGTAATCCTGACATCATATTTATAACTGTATCTTGGTGCCATGATGATATGTGTGACAATCAGTTCCCTATTTTCTGCTACGATAAGATTAAAGTCGGCATCGTCACCGAGGTAGAGGTTGCGTAATTTATCTGAATTACTCGCAGCAGCAATATTCGAGAACCCAGTGCTAAATGATGTCCAACAATCACTGGCTTGCGATATATATTAGTCAGCAGCGACTGATTATGTAATGTATTATGGTGTGTCAAACTGCAGCTAAAATGACCTGGCACTATTGACGCGTGCGTTGAATGCGCCTCAAGCCTACGGTTTGTACATAGGATTATCAAAGGGGATTTCAACTTGCGATCGATTGTATGGTCCATGGGAACTGCTCTTTTGAAATTCTAACATCTTATCCTCTGTAATCAAATGGCTGACAGCAACACGTCTCCCAACTTACCAGAAGTAAAAGTACTCTAAACTTCTTCTTTTGGGCATACTTGCTATTAATACTAATGTACTTGATGAATTACTTGAGAGCGATCATCGTGTGGTCAAATGTTGCTTAGGACTTCGCATGGTCGACTTATAACACCTAATATATTATCGGTTGTTGAGTTCCGTTAACTGGAACTCGTTCAAGGACCCGATTCTTTCGATGAAATGGGACAACTTTCTTTCTTCCTCTCCTCAACAAACAGTGGACCTGTTTTGTAGTATACTAGGCTTCCGCATCGGTTCAGCAGTGCTGCTGAAACGTGCCCACCAAACTAAACATAAATCCAATTCAGCGGAAATTCATGCTAACTGGTAACTTTGCGCAATCAAAGTTGATCAATAGGCTGAGGCATCATGATGACGGAACTCTCATTTTAGAAGAGTATAAAGCTTTGGACAGCTCTTGCAAAACCACTGAACTATCTAAACTGATCCGTGTCTAGGGTCCGCGTCGCTGATGCATTTTCAATTTTATCACCAAATCTTATGCAACCTTCGATGCACAGATGATATTTATGAGTTTTACGGAATCAATGGTTAGTGAATCATCAGATACACTAGCACTTATCATGCCTCACCTCGGTAAAAATCTATACACAGTGGAATTCACAATTGCGGAAATCACTGGACACATCTCTCGCTTATGCTCCTCGACTTGCGCAGAGCCTGATGGGATCCGTCTCCGTCTAATAAACATCAGTGGTAGCGACTTGTCTTCGCTTTTGCTCAACATCTTTACACCCTCTTTTGACCACGGAGTATATCCTGCTCAAAGGAATACTTCTGTCTTTATCCCGGGACACAAAAATGAATCTGCCCACGAGGTTAAAAACGTTTGCTCATTTGTCACACATCCATTTTAGCTAGAATTATGGAAGGAATAGTGAAAGATGAACTGCTTATCTTCTTGAATAAGGCCAACTTCATCAGCACAGTTTTATGCAAGGTCGATCCTGCGCAACCTGCCAGACAAACTTTTTAAACCACACAAAGGCTACCATAGAGAACGGAAATAGTGTTGTAATCTTGTTCTTGGAAATGCAAAAAGCCTTTGATGGAGTGCCTCATCGTAGGTTACTCAGCAAATTAACGGCAGTGGGCATTGAAGAGCCGATGTTTTCTTGGCTGTCTTCATATCTAATTGGTAGACAACTGGTGTTGTGCATGGGTGACCATTTCTCCAAACGGAAAGCAATCACCAGGGATAATAAAAGAGAGTGTTCTTTGAAAGGGTTGTCCTGTTCTCCGAACCGGGCATTTCTACTGCAAAAGAAATCCACACCCCGAGCTACAGGTATTCTCAATAATTTCCAGAGTGTACTTTGTCTGCTTCTTTTTCTCAGCGAATAGGATATGGTGCTACGTTCCTGTTTGCTGGTGATGTTAAAGTTGGCCACTCACAAGGACGTGCAAACACCCAGGCAACCGCACCTCTCATCCAGAATGACCTATCTGTACTTTAATCTTAGTGCCGTGGCACATGTCATTTGCCGTATACACTTGTACTATCTTTACGTACTAATGCCAGGCACCGCCAGACAGTCTTACTGCAAGGCATGTGCATCTCGAAATGTACGGCAGTTTGTGACTTGGGCATGCGATATTCTGTCCTCTCTAATTATTCGGAATATTGTGTTTTTTAAGGCCATGAAGACCGTCGGATACATGTGCCATCATTTTTTCTCACAGAATCTTGCATCTGCTTTCATCATCATCATTATCATCGTCGTTATATACGTAAGCTACAGGTGGAAAACACTTCAGCTACTGTGCCGCAATATATGTAAACAATAGAGGAAGTCAAACACAACAGGTGCACGCCAGCCGAGCTACCAGTAACGGATGGGCATCGTTCCGGAAAGCTACCAGCCGGCTACTATGCAGCCAACACATTTTATTATACCAAATTTACATTATGCTAAGAACTGAGATTGCGGTTGGTGGGGAAGGCTAAAAGGGATGCTAGGTGGACAAAGAAACTCCCAATACAAGTGACACTGTCGGCTACTAGCCATGACAAAACATATGTATTACCTTGTAGGGATTACTCTTCATTTGTACAATCGAACCTTCGAAAATCTGACTAACACACTTCACGAAGAGCTTTGCGGCATTTCCTCAACGATGACACACAGAGAACATTCTGATAAACTTAGATTTGACCCAATCTGGCTTCGAAGAACGAAGCAGAACCTACGTTTACTTCGCAGGATCATAAACCATTTCAATATCTGGAAGTGGTAGACAAGTTTGTTTACCTCGGAAACTGCATTAGCGCTAACAGTTTAACGCATGAGGTCTCCGTGCACGTCTCGGAGGCTCGGGCTGCGTTTGCTAATCTCCGCCATCTCTGGCGTCGCCGCGACCTGAGTCTACCTTTGAATGGCCGAGTACACAATGCCACGGTGATAGCGGTCCTGCTCTACGGTTGCGAGACAGCCTGTTCGCGCAAAAGGCGTTCAGAGGCTCTCTGTCTTTGATCACCGCTGCCTTCGGAGAATTGGTAGTGTACGGTGGCAACACCACATTAATACTGAGGATGTTCGCCGAAGGATTTTCAAAGTGGACAGACTTTGCCGCTCGCTGTCTTATAATTTTCCTTCATAGGCTTCGGTGGTTTGGGCACGTGCTCCGCATTCCTACTGAGCGTTTGCCTCACCGTGCCCTCTTTGCGGCTGGAAGCGAACACAAGGTGGCCAGCGAATGATGGGCCAAAACCATGAAGTCGCTGACTTCACATTTGGCCGCTTTCGGGTGCTTTCGACTCCCCGGTTGGGAGCCTAAGGACCATAAACACACTTGGCTGAAGCCCTATCGGGCATGTCAAGATACCGTGAGCAGTGGCGAACATATTGTGAGACTGCCTCCATGACTCCAGTTTTGCACTTCTTTACCCTCACTATCTCCTTATTATTGTTATATTGGTATGTTTGTCCATGCGTTGTGACACCATGCCCACCGTACTGTTGGCTTTGCTGCATATATATATATATATATATATATATATATATATATACCATCAAATACACAGTTCTAATGACGATGTTTTTAGATCGCAGATACCCGATCCGTAACAAAAAAAATTAAAGACCACAATTCCAAATTTACTGCGAAAATCGGAATGTTTTTTTATAGTCCAGTTATCAAAAATTTCGAACAAACTTCTAATAGATATAAAAACATGTCACAGAATGCGTGATTTTAAGCTTGAGATTAATGAGCATATCGCCGTTCAAAACGCGGTTAATATCTTTGGAACATCACAATCCACTTTCGCGAACGGTATCGATGTTGCCTGACTAAATTGCAAACAACTCATGCACATAACATTTTGGATCATGGACCCTTTCATTTCTTTTTTTCTTTCGGCCTGAACATCTTTTATGCTTGTGAAAAACCTGGTTCATTCGCAAGTGAAAAACCAGTAATCATTTTGGTTTCTTTGTCTTACCTAAACTTCAAATGTTTGCCTGTATTCGTTTTAACAAGTATTCTTGCAATAGCATGGAATTGATGGAACAATTCTTGATCTGTTCCTTCTAGGGAACAACTCGCATCGTCGTGGAATATACAATTTATTTATTTATTTAATTTTCCGGCACCTGTCTCCGCTTTGCTTCCTATTTCTAACCTTTCTGTAAGCCACTAGTCGGTGGTACAATGAAGTTATGGTGTTGACATTATCTTTAGAAATATTAGAAGCAACGTGTTTGAATGGATCCCAGTGGATTGCAGTAAAGGTGCTATTCGAGCTTGGATTTCCATAAGGGTCAATAAGCACCGTCTGAAGATGGGACCTGTCCATTTTTACAGCATGCGTTTACTTGTCCATCTCTGATTTCTGCTGATTACATGTTCTATTGTCAACTAACATTCTCTGATCGGTTTACCATGAATTCTAATCCAGTGGTCATTATCGGTAGCACGATAATTTCACAGGGAACCTTAGCGAAGTCCACATAACATCTTGGAGTCTATTTGGGAGTCCATATCCACCTGACTATACAAGCGATCACCTTCTCCGGTTGTATGCCAACCTGCCACCTTCATGATCAACCGTGTTGATTTCTAATCTTAACTCTCGCATTTGCATCAGATTGCCCACACTAGTTCAGTGGTTATCAATCTGAGGGTAATTACCCCCAAGGGATAAACTGGAATCTTACGGGGATATACACAAGTCCGAGGATTAGGTCATCTATCTTTTGCCAAACAAAATTAATAAACTCATCTATATCAAAACATTTAACTAACTGCCTAATCACTATTGGTTACTAATCGGTAATCATTAGTGAGTGGCCAGTGAAATAGAAAATTTTCAGTAATAAATTATTTCCTAAATTAGGGATACAAGCCTGCAAAGCGACGCAACTAGTTGACGCCTCTATCGGCTCGCTTGTGGATCGTTGTTCTTTTGTGTCAGGCATTTATTCGTCGGGTGGAATTACAGAGTTGAGTGAGCACTCAGATGGGATCATAAATCAGCCAACCAGGTAAAGGAGCGACCGAATGTTTGCGGGTAAAAGGCACCAAACGGGCGGTGATGGGAAGCTGTCATCCAGGAAGGAATTGGAAGCGATGATTGAAACAAATGAGAAGCCACTGACATCTGTTCATGTTTGGTGAGGAATCACACAACACGACTTACGATGTACGGTAGTCGAAACCGCACTTAATATGCCATAAATTGCTGGAACTAAACATTATCAACCATCTCATTAACTTACATCATCTTGATTTACTAAAAATTGATCTAAAATAGACGTTTTTTGATTGAAAAATTAACATAACTAATCGTTCTTCATTTCGTGTAAAAAGTGCAATAGTTAATAGGTATAATTACAGTTTAAACTGAAAATTTTTTGGTCGTTATTATTTGTGGTAAATTCACTTTGGGAGTAACGACCGCGAAAAGTCGAGAACCACTGCGCCTGTTGGTAAACGCCACCCGGTACAGTCAAGAAATAATCCATCATAAGCATTGAAAACACTTGAAATGTCTTTTAGTTATTCAAAAAGTGGCTGAGAGAGTCTATCTGTTCCCCTATATCTATCGGTATCTCAACAGGCTAACTGTGATAGCGTTTGTTGATTGAGCCCGAACCAACGTTGGAAGTTGTCATACCGTTTACTCCAGTAGTGATTCAATGCAAGCTGACTCTGCAAGGCACAATAGACTTGTGGGCCCCATCGTTCCTGTAAGACATACGAAACTCATCAATGGTTAACCCAGCCTCTCCATTCCACAACTTGTAAGACACTGAAGAGGTACTTTCAAACTGGTGCTTGGTAATCGTCATCTTGATCTGTGGATTGGATCACTGGCTTTATGTATTAACCCAATTATTATTGTCTCCGAAGTTCCATTAGGCATCATACTACGGTGGCTCTGCGGTGCTGCGACGAATTGAGCCAGCAGAGTGTGTTGACCACACTTTTACTCTTTGCTTGGTGAGTGAACTTCGACAACCTGCTCAACGTGGTCTTCCTTGGCATGAACAAAACCTCTTATTCAATTGATCTGGTCTGCTAATTATACTGCTTCCCTTTGAAGGTTATGTCAAAGATTCTTGAAGCTCTATACTGCGTCTCCCGATACTTGGGAGCAGTTTTCCAAAAATGGATACTTTGTGTCATCTGGAGTTCGAAACCTAAGAGGGACAACGCAGCTCTATTATAGTTGCACTTATCCTGTGCGCAATCACATCTAAAGAAGGATACGCGGAGCGCTTTAGTTTTCGGCGCAAAATGCTGTTGTATAACTACACCGACACAGCACTTGTAACCAAAAACACAGATCTGCCATTTGAAGGGGTCTATCGATTTGCTCGTCCTGCTAGTTGCGTCACCTCAGGTAACCACATCACGGACGAAGTCACTGCGTTTTTTGGCTCTTCCGTATTCGTCCTCTACAGAGATGATGGTGTCATTTTATTTCTTAAAAGTGGGTGTGCAGGGCTGCAGCACGACCGATGTTGCTCTGTGAAGCAAGAACATGGCCACTTCGCATCTTTACCTTACCTCCCTTAATTTTTTATCTTCTTTGCGTCATCCTACCTTTTTCAGCTTTGATAATGATTATTGAGACGACGCAGATGGTTCTAACTGGATTCATCGTGATTCGTTTCCCGGACCGTAAACGTTTCATTTGGTTGAATAATACAACTTAGGAAGTATGGCGCTACTGTTTTTCTTGTGGAACAAGTAGGGTCACTATTGACAACGTGCTCACACCTGATTCCTACACACGTCATGTTAGTCTACAATCTCATGATCTATTACCCTTACCCCATTACTTTTTCAGATGACAAACAGGTTTACTTCAGTGTATAGCTCTCCTTCCAATGCATCTACTGCTTCGCTAGTCGCCTCTGCATCTGGTCCCACCGTGATGCTTTCTCGTCCATCTCCGTTACTAAACCACGTCACTGACCCCTCCACCTACAGGGCCGTTGTGACTGATGCTTGCGAATACAATCGCAGCTTGTCTCGTCGCAGAGCTTCCCGTCTTCCGTTTCTTGATTTGGCCACACATACGATGCAGCGACCAGCGCCATGGCTTTATCGATCGAAGTGGGATCGATCCAAAGGTACTATACTCACTTTGTTTTTATGATTCGTCTGCTTGTTTATCCATTATTTTTTTTATCTTAGCTATCCTATTTTTTCCCTATTGTCACTTCGCCATCATCAACATTAGTATGTGTGGTTTGTGATGATTCTTCTCGCCGCACAACCAATAACTATGATATTTGACTGTATTAAGAATAAAGTGGAGTTGGCGTAAATCCCGATATAAACTTAAACACCCTAGGCGAACACTTAGGATCAATGCACTGAAATATCACCAAATCCTACGTAGTTTCACACCGCTGATTATCACACGAAAAGAAGGCGGCTTTGAGAACTTCCTTGAGGTTGTCACTGCTCCATCTCGTAGTCTACCTTGCTCCACAGATAACTGGGCATCAGAAACACTAAAAATTGGTCTGGTAAGAAGACAGGGAACTCACGTTTGACACCTTCTACGTTCATCATAGTCCGTAGTCAAGGTATATAGGTTCTACAGATACCGATCTGTAACACGAGCAGGGTTAATAGCACTCACTGAAAAGCGTCCTGTTGCTAAGTCATTAGTTGTCTTACGTGAATGTAAATCCGTTGAACGGAACAAGAACCTCAATGTTCTATGGACAGTCATACGTGGCCGTATGTGTTACCCAAGAGAACTCATTAGCTATTCGACTGTGAACTTAATGATTGTGCACACCCACCTCTAACGACATTGTCCAAAAGCAATAATGGACAATGTCGCCGGAGATCTTATAACAGAGGAAGCTAAATTTCACTGCCATTAGTACGAACGGCAATCATTGCGCTCTTTAGTACTCCGCGATCGATTGCGGATGTAACTCGTTTCCGATTTCAACCATGTCATGACTAATTTACAATAGTTATAACCTTTTGGCTAACTTAAGCGCCTACGCACCTGTCACCGCTACTGCAGTTACCAGAAATGTGAGCTAATCAAGTACGTTCATTTTCATATATATATATATATATATATATATATATATATATATATATATATGTCACAATCTGTGGTGCGGATATTGTGCCTTCAGAATTATGGCGGACGAAGAAAACAGGATACGAATGGGAAGAAAATGAGCATGCAATGTTTTTCAGTAGTTTTTCACAGTTTTGGGGAAGGGAAGGGAAATCACCGCAACACGCAGTTGTACACCTCCGCCATTGACGTCGATCCTGAGCCATGACGACACATGTGTTTCTGAAATCCCAATCAGGGAGTCGAGAACAACTGACCGAGGCCAACTCTTTGGTCAGCTTTTATTATGTGCCTTTTCCAAGTTGTAGGCTGTCCACCACACCGCCTCCTCCAACCCTGTCCAGCGAACACAAACAAGGCACGACGCGGAAGACGCTGAACGGGCATACGCAGTACGTGTCCTAGCCATTGTAGTTGGCACAGCGAGAGAAGCGCCTCGAGGGAGTGTCTGTCTCCACCCAAGACACGTTGTCTCGTTTCTGCGTTGGTTACATGGTTAAGCCACCACACACGGGCGATGGACCGCAAGCAACGGTTCTCGAAAACAGACAGTCAACGTAGATCATCGGTACAGGCAGCCCAATTCTCGCAACCATAAAACAGTACAGCGCGGACAGTCACATAACTATCTGCATAATGAAGCCCCATATATGAACACTTGTGAAACTGTTTAGGAGTTGGGATTTGGGACCTCGTTTGTGGACTCCACCTGTTCTTGGTGAGCTATACGACAATTACCGTTGACGTTCCTGCGATCTGTTGTTTGAGAGTACAAGGTGCGCACAAGAGTCACTCATAACTGCGATCACTTTCCCATTAAAGCATTTCGACAATTGAAAGCTATCGACGGAGTTCAATGTTCTCTTGGAATCTGAGCACATGGCTGTTGCCAAACCTACAGTACGCATAGTTCTCTGACCTTTCACTTCAGATCAATTCAGTTGAACAACTGTACTTCTGGCACCGATGCAAGCAACCGAATGCAGGAACGCCACTGTCTGCCCCACTAATAATAGTAATGTGTCAGCTGTACGCCGTAACGGCGTATAGCCTTCAACCACCGATGTCGTACATACGAGGCACTCATTCACAAGGATGACATGCACCAGCTTAATCAAGCCTCTCGATCGGTTTCTTCATGTCTTTATGCCACGTCATCGACTGGCCACCTCTCGGTTTCCCCTGGTGTCCTGCCGCGACGGCGTACACTGCACACTGAGGAAGTCTGCCTACGGGTAAACATAGGACCTGGCCTAACCAGATTTAGGAATTCAGAAAATACTCGAGTGAAACACAAGGGGGCTACCTGCCAAACGTCAACTAAAGAACTTCCTCGGTTGCTCCCCCAGTATTCTCACTAGATGGGAACAAGCACCGGGGATCAAACGGCAAACCGTTTCACGTCTTCCGTGTAAACTGGCAAGGTTTTTGATCCATAGAGTAACACCGGGCTTCTTGCAGCAGTATACAAACGGTCTTTCACTGTTACGCTAATTTCCCGCCATTTCCATAGCTTGTTGGCACTGATATTCCACATGAACATTGCCGATACGCGCAGTAACTTACTCGGTGATGTGAACACTAGGTGTGACAAGTCTACCAAGGTAACAACCGATCGACCACTGTTCGCCTGTACTTATAACCCATGTCGTCTCTGTCCAGCCCTGCGACAGCACTGCTGCAAAACACATGTCGAAGCGTGCAGCGCTACTTGTCAGTCTGCCCAGTAGTTTTTGCATAGCTACTACGTCAGACCCAAGAAAGGCTGTGATCTACATACTCCAGTTTTGTCAGTCTGTCACGGGGCTAAACTCCCACTCTGGTAAAATCTGAAAGAACCGATTGGGTCATAATCATTTCGATCACAAAGTTGAGGAGGCAAGGACAACCCCATTTGTCCTGGAGAACTCAGGAGACAGTTTACTGTCGACCCTTACACGGCCTCGGGACTCACGGTACAGAGTCTCCAGAATGGAATGGCACGTCCTTCGTGGATAGGCAGTGCCACAAACTGGCTGGGTCAACAGAGTCGTAGAAGGCTTTCAAGTCAAGTAAAACCACTGTATTCGGTCGTCTGTATGTTTCTCTGCTTTAAAACTTGGCTTTCAACTATTCGGCTAGGGCGGTGACAAGTAGGTCATTGAAGGAAGAATGGTAGCCGTGAAAAGTTTAGACGCAATAGAAAGAAGACTAATGTCTCGATGATTTTCGCACATTGTGCGCTGACGCATGTTGCAGATGGACGCGACAGTTGCCAATCTGAGGACACTTCTTCTGTGTCCCAAATCTTGTTAAATTGAGTCAATTCCAGTCAATAAGTAGTCGCCTCCATCTTTCAACAAAGATGGGGGAAGGTCGTCGGGTGCAGGAACCTTGTTTCCTCTCAACACTGCGAGCTCATGTCAAATCTCTCCCAAAGCAGGCGGTGACATCTACTTACCACGTCGGCTCAGGCGACTCGGCAAGCAGTAATGTCGCTACTGACTTGCTGAACTGCTCTTCAACATGTTCCACTCGAGAAGCTAATCGACGAGCTGATTCCATCAACCGCACATCTTGGCTGTTGTCTCGGTAATTAAGAGTTTTCTCGGACCCATGTTCCAGATGAGCTTGAACAGCACTGCTGTTCTTAGTAGCACTGGATTTCTCCATCTCACGAGCATTTGCTACCAACCATTGTTTTCATTTGATTCGAAGACTCATCGTCGGTCGTCGTTTCAAAACGTTGCGGGCACACTGAAACTCAGTACCCATTAGAATCTACTTCCGTTCCTCTATCAAACTTATGGATGCCTCAGAGGGCCATTCACAGTTTGGACGGCTCAAGTTCGGCATACAGTAGGCATCGAGAGCATTCTTCATGGCACATTTGAGACGATTCCAGTCCACGTTTGGCTTACCAACATTGATCGCTGACAATTGGTGGACCAGTTCGGCATGATATTGTTGAACTTCGGACTTCGAATTCAAGTTATAAGTAAGTGTTTTAAAACTTAGGCACTTCTTTGAAGCGGGCAGAGTGTACGTCAGGCGTGGGCTCACAAGAGCATGGTCGGAACCCATGGACGTGCTCCAAATTGACCGACGTCTGACTAATGTGCGCCATCTGTATTTGATGGCAGCGTGATCAATCTTGGCCCAGGTAATTGAGGAATTCACTGGGCTACAGCTTACTCATTGGAACTTTTGTGATGGAAAGCAGTGGCGATGATAAACAGCTGCTACTCGGTTCGTAGTTGCAGGAATCGATCACGACCGTCTGTCCGACGTGCATCCACTCCGAAACAACTTCTCATTTGTTCAGTTTTTGATATGCGACATCCTTATGCATTCATGTCTCTAGCAGCGATCATGATGCTAGTCTTCCTCGTTTCACGGATAACCGATGGTAGATGGCTATACAAATAATCTTTTTTGCCCTTACCGTCAGTGGGTTATGATCTGGAGCCATGTGTGGGCACCTTGTCTTCAGACCAATATAGAGGTTTGTTGTTAAACCTCACACATGCGACTGTTCCCTAGCATCCCGTCGACCATATTTCCTTTCGCATATGTGCAGTGGACGATGCTGACACTAGAAGTGCCTTCAGCTATTGAATCAGTATCGCCAGAGACGCGAGGAGTCATTATCGACAAACTCGGAACCGATTAGTCGAAGATTCTTTACGGCGCTGTTATTTTCCATACTTGTTTTGAAGACAGCACACAACACCAGGCGAGTGAAAAGTTAGAGTTAGTGATGCGTGTTGGCCGACGAGATCTATTGTGCGAACCTTGATCGAAGCAGTGTGAAATATGACCCTTGATTGGAACGGCAACTTACGTTTATCGACATCAACAACTGCCTGGACAGCGCTAGTCTCTTTGTCAATAAACCACGAAGAGGAGTCGCGAGGCAGAAAGAAAATTAGACGAAGCAGTATCGTCGACCGAGTTGAGAGGGAGAATGATACCACTTAGAGAGTGGGATGCTTTTGTAACCGCGCTACCTTTGCCTATGACTGGTGACTAGTCCACATCTCTGTTAGATACATAGAGTTTCTTTTGTGGTTCTCCATCCCTAGCATTTGGCCCAATAGCCTAATCTACTAGTTAATCTGGAGTGATTCCAGCTCGGGAATGTGATTACAGAAACCCATTGGGATCTAAACGCTTGTCACGCGCAGCTTTCGAATGCTCAGAGCAATTCACTGTCTGTCCACCGTAGAATTTTTCGCGGGATTGAGGCAGTTTGTCCTGGGTTGCCTGACTTGAGGCTGGTAGTGTCGAGCACCGAGCGGTGGTCTCCAACCGTCAGAGCCAGTGCGTGTTGTGCTCTGCGACAATCGGATTGTGATGTTTGTAACACGTAATCTGTTGCCCCACATGGTCTTAAAGAAATAGTGCCACCGATCTCTCATCCTCCGAAGAGGATTGCGAAACGGAATTAGTCTGACCCCCAACAACTAATGTCTGCGGTCTGAGCGGCTCTGAAAGCACTTGGTAAGTCCTGGCCATCGTAGCTCTCCGGGGGCGCGCAAGCCACTGAAACTCGTTAGATTGCAGTCTCATTTTGCTTCTCTCTTGTCTTACATCAGCTGCAAAATAACTTCTGATCTATAATTCTTAATCTGGTCTTTAAAATCATTTCATCAAATTCTCGTGTTTCTTTACTGTTGTTGACACGTGCGTTGCTGCTGACCTTGACTGCTCAGCTTCTCGCAGTTTGCCCTCCCACCGCTATTTAAACACTGAAGCCATCTTTGACAAAGAGCTTCTCCGTTACTGCTGGTTTGCGCAATTTTGAATGAATTTCAACTCGTAATTTATAGCCGTTACTCATTTAAAGAAGTCGATCAGTAGAACGAGAGGCGAAAGTAGGGTTAGTCGAATATGTTTGTGCATTAGTCAAAGATGCCGACTGTTTAATGGCGACTATGCATTTGGAGTTCACTACTATCTATTTATAAGTAGTCACTGTTTTCTACCTCCGTTGCTCCACTGCTCCAGCCCGATTGTCACCTGAACACAATTCGCTGTTTTTCCCCTATCTTCTATCATGTAAATTTTCACTTATTTACGATAATCGGCTTATGTAACACAGCTGTCTGGTCACTTTGTTTTTAGCATGCCGTATATTTCATAATCGAACAAGCTTCTGTTTGTGCTGAATCTGTGGGACTATTACTGTATCTATTCACGAGTCCCCTTTTATTCTGCTCTATGGCCACGTTACGGTCAGTTACTTTCACGGCGTACAATTCTGACAGCCCAGACCGTTCTGTGGCAACGGGCTGGTGTTGCCAAGCTTTGCATATTACATAACCTCTCATTATTTTTAACAACTTGTTTTCCATTCACTGAGTGAAAATTGCAACATATGGTTTGGCGCCGTAAGTATCAATTTTTTGCTTGCCAAGGTTGTGGGGTACAAAATCATGGTCTATTTGCAATTCAGAAAATGTAGCGACGATGGCTTTTCTAGCATCTTTCGCTCCAGTGGCACTGTCCAGATACTGTAGCTGATGTGACTTGCGTGCTCGTTTTGTCCACTTGCATAGTTGCTACGACAGATGCAGCTTACAAATAGGTTCTTCGTACATCAACCGCATGTCCGGAACAGTGTTGTGTGGTCCTGCTTCTCTGTTGGGACCCATTAGCAATGTGCGTATCCTTGTCTTATCATCCCATAGCCTGACGCCACCACTGACTAACCTGTATCGTCTCAAAGAGAATTGGCAATGTTGTTTATGCCTGCTGGTATATTGTTTTGCAGATAACAGTGTGCCAGCAACTGAGGGGTTGCACTCATTTAGACACCCATCTCACGTTTCCTTGTGCCCTCTGATTCTTAGGTGCTTACATCGTATTCCTTGATGGCTATTACGGATCTCATACTCTCTTACCTGAAATATATACCTCTTGGTCCAAGCGTGCAGAGAAGGCTGGTGCGATTTAAACGCAGTGTTGGGGTGTCTGGTTGATTACTCGCCTGAACTAAAACGTGTGTATTGTTCCTCCCTTTTGGCCGTTTAGACTCGTTGGATCTCGGCACTCATGTTGTGTTTCGCTACCTTCGTCACAGATGGCGCTCTGTGGCTCAAACTCCTGCTCGCAAACGGAAGCTTGTCGCCGATCGCCTCTGGCATACTTTGCAGACAGGTCTCAGTACACTCGGCATTTCTTCGGAAATGAGTAGGTTTCGCTCTATGCTTACCATTGCCTTCCCTCTAGTTGATGCGTTAATGCAGTAATTTATCTTAAAACTGCACACCGTAGCTTCCATAATTACTAACATTCTTATAGCATTTAACATTTTCATTGCTCATTGGTTTGTTAATTAGCAAATCTTGGTCTGACATCTGTATTACCTTTACCTGTACTCTCAGTCATTTTTTTGTTTTCATCATCCATAGTTTTGTGCTTATCGCAGGCACCTTAACCATAGCACACTTGACTTCACCCTACCACAATGACCTTGCTATAGTGGTGTGAAAATCGGTGAACCTAGAGCAGACATGTTCTGCCGAATAGTGGGACATCTATGGTACTTCGGTTACCTGCCTGGAACGTTCTTCAGGTCCTGAACTGATCTGCGTCATCTAAAACTTATAGCAGTATGGTCGAAGACGATCAACAAACAGCTGGTAACCGACCCGTCAACGGTCAGGAATATCTCCAGTCCTGGTATAAAATCCACTAATTCACCTTTGTTTTCTGAGAATCCGTCCTGCTTGTACACCTAATCACAAGTCCTTATTTGTAAGCTCGTCGAATTCCGTCATCGTCATACCTCAGATCTTCGAGGTATAATGGTGGTCACCGAAACGTGCCTGAGCTGTGAGATTACCGGAATGGAAAACACTTTAGTCGTGATGTCACTTGGCCGAAAGGACGGAACAGAAAGGCGTTTGGAGGGATCATTTGCTACAAAACAAGTTTCCGTTGTCAACTCATAGACGTTCACCAACCGCGTGTCACAGATCTACTTTGGTGCAGACTGTAGCTGAATGATTACTACCTATGCGTTGTATCCACAACCTGTGACAATTCCCAATCGTGCCAAGCTGCACTGAAGAGACTACCACTGATTGTCAATCTTTTTGGACTATGCTTTACACTTCAACATACAGTCTTTCTCCATGATCGTCAGGAACCGGCTGCTGCACTGATATTTGGTGGGCATCGGCTACATGTCGTACAGAAATGCAACTGTTTGGGAAGCTGTATCAGTGCCTATGGGATGAAAGCTTACTACCGTCTAGAAAAAGCTCAATGCGGTTTTGCCAACCGACGGCACTTGTGACGTGACATCACTATCGACTTGGAAAGTTGAGTCTACAGTGCAGAAGTCCGACTCCCACTCCATGAATTGTTTACCCGACTGTTGCTTGGATGGAAGAAGAGGCGGAAGGTCAACCGCCGATTTGGTCGGGTGAAATGACGACCTTTATTTGGTACCTGCCGTCTACGGGGCTGGTGTCTCCAGGACGATGAGCAAGTTTTGTTGGATAAACTTGTTGAAATGGCGAAATGCCGATCTCAATGTGCTTTATTTTTTGTTTATTTATTCCACTTAGCCTCTCACGGATCTTAGCCAAGGTAGAAGACAGTACACCGAAGACCGTGTGTGTGTGTGTGTGTGTGTAAAAGGCCAATAAAATTAAGAATACCCCAGTCAACGCTCGTCCGGTCAACACGTGACATCCCCTCTCTATCCACGATCACTCTCGATGCACGACATGAAACTGAGCATAACACTAGTTTTTTCTTGTTTTTCTTTTGCGTTTTGTGTAGTTTGTCATGCCGCTTTTTTCAAATGTTTTGCCTACTTGTATTACAGTACGATAGTTGGGGGCATTTTTTTACCTTTAGCCAACGTGAACTGATGATGGGGAGTGTACCGTTTATGTGACTACTTGTGATCACTAAAAGTGATGCAAGTATTCTTGTCTAGACAGTGCACACACTACTGTTGAAAAATGACAAGCTTCTTGTTACTCAACCTACTGTTCTGTGAACTGGACATTTTTGTTCCAATCTTTTCGTCATCATTCGAGGTGATATCTTCAATGCGTCAGTGTGTGCTCCCTCTCTCAATCTCCTACATTGTGCTACTCCTCCTCGTGGCTTCTGGATTGGGTCTATTCGGTGACCACCCTGATTAACGATTTTCCCATCGTATTCAGCGCGTTCTTTCTTGCCGGTCGCTAATTCCTTTCAGGATGTGTAGCAGTATTGTTTTAATACGATCGACATTTCATCCTGTTATCACTGTTCCCATGTGTTCCTCGCCTTTTTCCCTTGACAACACACCCGTCTGCATGCCGTTCATTCGACTCGGCCTTCATTCGGCCAGATTGCATTGTCACTATCCCGACACCGATTGTCCACCTTAATAGTGGGATTCAAACCGTTTGCTGTGCATTACTTTTAGGCACAGAATCACTTGACGTGCTTATGAAGTTTATCCTGTTGACCCACTCACGACAACTCCGTACTGAGCGGTCGCGTGATTTTGATCACTTTCGATGCCTTCATGTTGTATTGAATGAGTTGGTGTGTTTCATGTTCGTTACTTTTTCCTATTTCAGCTTCTATACGGATCAATCTTTATTTGTTTTAATTAACTGTCTTCAATTCCGCGTAGGGATGGGCGTCCTTGCGGTATACTCAGCCCGCGCGCGATCGGTGGTGGTCGAGCGGCAGCGAACCGCCGTTACGGCGTGCAGCTGACACATTATTAATATTAACTGTCTTCAATATGTATCCGCTTTATTCGGTAGTACTGCAGCTATTATTCTTGTGTACGTTTGTTGTCAGTGCCTCTTCCGGTTTCATCCTCGTTCTAGTGCCTGTCATCATCCGGAAGGCCTACGCTATAGCTGGTTTACCAGTCCCGGTTAGCGTCGTCTCCCATTTGGACGCCATTTGCATCAGAAATTCATCTGCTGCACAACAAAACCTATCCTTTTCTACTGCTGGTCGATTGCACCAAAATCCACCTTACTTCGGTGCCAAACGGGCCATTCATCCGGAGTCTTGGTCCGAACCCCATTCTCGTCGATCAACTGCTTCTACTCGCGAGGATGATTCTGTCGTAGATGAGTATGCCGTAGACGAAGTGGAGACTCTTCCCAAACCACCGTTCGTGTCTATGCCGAGGGTTCGTCCGTCAGAGACCACCACTCCCTTAGCCAGTGGGGAAGACAGTGTGCAGTCAAGTGACTTCATTGGATTGAAGCGCACTAATCCGGAGGAAGCGTCTGTCGAACTTAGAACAGATGATGAAATTTCTGTTCAGTCTGGTACTGGCACAAAGTTAAGCTCCAACTCTGATGGGGCACACATCAGACCGAAACATAATAGCCTACATGACGACTCCGACGAAGCCGAACGTCGTGATGAAGAAGATGACGAAGACGAGGACGGTGAAGACGATGATCAGCTAGATGACGACGACGTTGAATGGATGCAGCCACGAGGGAGACGATCCAGCAGACGGTTCTCCAATGAGCGGTCGTTTGTTTCCAGACGTCGTAGGGCATCGCTTAACTCTCGCAAGGCGGGGCGTTTTTCTATGCTTAGCCCCCGCTTATCTGGTAGACACATCACGAAGGGACGGGCGATACAGAGTCAGCACACTTTATGTGCTCGAGATAAGGTCGGTAAAAGTTGGTTTTACTTGTATTTGTTCGAAATTGCACACATATTGCTGCACATATTAAGAGCAACATATATTACGGCATTCTGAGTCTGTTATCTTTTGATACTCATTCCTGTTAGCGTACGCGCAGTCTCCGTTTTTTGGTTGCACTGATCGTCCTTTCAAATCCAAATACCGGTGTACTCCAAAATTCAAGTTTTGATTCCTCTTTCTCATCCAGTCCATATTACAGACTTTACGAAGTATCGAGATCCTATGAAATGTTATCCACCTTCATTATTTTATCCGCTTCGCGCACGGCTTCGGGTACTGATTTGCGATTCCCCACCAATCTTGGCCTATTTCTGCGCTTTATCTCACTTCGTGTGTTTAATTTCAGCTACGTCCTGGTCGATTGTCTACTGTTGCAGATGTTGAGTCTTCAACTGACTTGCCTGGTCGCCGCAGTGTGCGCATCAATAACGCAAGTAAAATGAAAACATCTACGGCCTACGTAACAGCGCTTACAGTGAAAGATAATATTGCAGACGGTACGTTTCGTTTCACATCGTTCTGCTCTGGACGCAAGGGCTAATGCAAAAGCATCTAACAGCGTCACTTTACCCTCGCTTACTCCGTTTTGTAACAGTCGTCATACAGACCCCACGCAAAACCTGACCTCCAAACCACTTACGGCACTTTAGAGCCGGTTTATCCCATGACTGATGAGGACTCATCGGTTTGTGGCGAATTTCGGTGTTCATACTTGTTCTTTTTATCTGGCTCATCTTCTACTTGTCGTGTGCCGGTGTTATTGCAATATAATGATGCGTTATAGATTTTGTACCCTGTGGTTGCCTCATCAACTATCGAGGCCCTTTGCCAGATAGGACATCATACACTGAGCAAAAGCAGTATCTTATCAACTACGGCACATTCAACAGCCTGCTGATGAATGAGACAAGCACACATTTAGCAGCTGATATCCATAAATAAGTGATATACCTGCGTTGTTACGAGTAGTCTGCAGCCCGATAAGCGCAACAGATCACATAGCGATTGACGGTATGTGTTATTGTTAGGCGCAATCTTGTTTTTACCCTTTGACTGTTGGCTACAGAAATTTTAATGCTTGGACTCACTTCTTTTGGACACACAGGTGTGGCTTTGCCAATCTGATGCTTACCACTTCGGCGGTGACAAGCAGTCGTGCCCTCAATTGTTGGTTCTGATGGTATTCTATTCAAGTATCTACTATGGACCAGAAGATCGGTTATTGCACCTAAATTGGCATTATCCCGTTGGCTAATCAGCGATTTCAGTACATGTGTCTTGATTCGCTTAGTCGTACGTCCAATGTGTCAAGCTACACAGGACCAGAAGAACTCGTAGATCCCCGCTGAATGGAGGTGATCGGACACTCGGTCTTTAGCGAGGGCAACAATTATCGATTTGCTCGTGAAAACCGCGTTAGCGCAAGCTGCATTGAAGGTCTTTCCTCAAGTTTGCATCAACTTTCGTGCACAAACTGCAGCCACTTTTGTACTCTTAAAATTTTGGGAAAAATCTGTTTCTTCTCGACTGTTTTTACTGCGCATTCTGGGCTTTTGGGCTTCGTATACCTGTCAATGAAGTACCCGTGGTAACCACTCTCGAGAAGGGTGTGTTTTGATTCGCTTCAGTTCGCTACAACTCTTACGTGTTTAGTTTGTCAACGTATGCACCAGGGTTTTTGTGCGACTGAGTGTGACAAAGCTTTGAAAATGTGTGTATTGCTTCCTCCTATATTTGGAATCCATTTTGGTTCCTATTAGGAGAGCGCCAGCCCCTCATTAGCTTATCGACACGTGTCAGTTTGTCTAAAGTGTTAGCAACATTAACATGCTCGACTATCGAGTGTTCAATCTGAACGTTGTGTAAATATTTACCAATGCCAGTCTGCTAGAGACACTCAACTTCCACTGCACCTACATTGACCATCACCCAGGTATTAAACGACCAATTGAAGCAACTCTTGCTTTTCAGTTAAGTAATAAGGTATACTAACAAATATATGGTCGGCCAATGGGACCTTGTCTCGGCCCAATGTCGGCTAATGTCTGCATTGGAATGTTAGAGGACGGCACACACAATTTGGCTATTTTCTCCTTCAAGTTCTACGGACGTTCTGGGTTCGACATAATCTGCGTAGGTGCTCACTCCACCAAATCGCAGAATGTTGTCAAAGCTTTCAACAGAGTATATCCCAATGGTAAACTCACAGCTGAGGAGGAACGTGACAACCAACCGAATTTCTCGGATGCAAATATAAGAATATTAACAGACGGATGCATCCAGTTAGAAGGAAATAGGAAATTCTACTGCGTGGTGCAATATACACATTTTCAAAGCTTTGTTACACTCAGCCGCACAAAAACCCTGGTGCATACGCTGACCAACTACGCAGGTAAGATTTGTAGTGACATAACTGAAGCGAATCAAACACGCCCTTCTCGAAAATGGTTACCAAAGTCGCTTCTTCGACACTCATTCGAAGCCCAAAAGCCCAGAATGCGCCGTACGAACAGTCGAGAAGAAACAGTATTTTTCCACGCTGCTCTTTAAGTGTGCAAAAGCGGCTGAGGTTTGTGCACGAACATTGATGAAAACTTGGAGAAAGACCTTCAATGCAGCTTGCCTTAACGCGGTTTTACGAGCAGACCGATAATTGTCGCTATTGCCAAAGACCAAATATCTGATCATCTCCAAGCAACGGGGATCTTGCGGTTCTGCTCCTGTGTAACTTGGCACATTGGACGTACGACTAGGCACTTTGGAAAGCAAATCAAGTGTTGAGCGGGTCTACGCTACCTTCCAGTTCGATTGCACTGTGTGCGAAAACCCTCGTGAATCTTTCTAGGTCATCAAGGGACAAAATACTCCAACCGTGTTCCGGTTTGCTGAAGCTTCCGCCATCCGGCAACTGAGCGCCCCGCCTTGGTGAGGCGTAGGTTCGGTCATCATCATCATCAATACACGTTAGAATAGTGTGATACAGACGCCTCAGCTAATGTGCCGCAATGCAAAAAAATAAGATACTTGTAAACATAACACTACAAAGCATTAAAACAGCAAGTAATATAGTATCAACTGTTATATTATGCATTCCGTGTGAGATCCTAATTGGAAGGGGATCGAAAGGAGAGGGAAATGGACAAGGTAACTCACCGCAAACGCTATATTTCAGCAAGTATGTCCAATCAGACATGTTCATTGTCTTTTGGACCTAACCCGCAGTCGGGATGCACCAACCGACGCCAACTTAAAAGTGAGGCTTTTCGTTCTTCTAGATCAAGTCATCACTTGGCCTCCTCTTCTTCCAACCGCACCCCCGGCGCGCAAACGACGCATGATGCCGGAGTCGGTGAGCTGGCATGCGTAACACGTGACCCAGCCATCGGAGCCGGGTGCGTAATATAATTATGCTGAGCGGTTCACTCGCTCCTATTGCATCAGATACACGACGCCGAACACATTCATTGCTCATTCTGTGCTCGCGCCAGACATGAGGCAAACTACGAAGGCAGTGATTGCTGAAAGCAGCTAGCCTCTTTATATCTGACGTCCTGAATGGCCAGGTTTCGCAACCGTATAGGAGGATTGAACGGATGGCTTCATTATAAACTCTGCAATTCACGGCTAAAGTGATGTGGAATCGGCGCCATAGGTAGCGGCGATTGGCAAAAGCACTTCGGACTTTTGCTATACAGTACGTAATCTCATCTTCGATCCGGTGGGCCGTACTATAAATGCCCAGGTACTTGAATTCACGAACGACTTCTAGGTGATCACCACTGTGTCAGCGCAGGCGTGGGCCCCTGCCAATCTTGGAGAAGGACTCTGCATTTCGATGGAGTAAGCAGAGACCAAAACGATTGACAGCCAGTGCTATTCGGTCCAGTGGTGCTTGGCACGTTCTGTCACTGGAACATACTTTCTCGATCGTCGCAGATTCTATATAGTTGCTTTTCTCGTTGACCCGTCTCTGGATTTCATCTAACCATACTACTGCAAATATGTAACCGGCTGACTAAGAATACAGGAAATAAACAACTCAGTCTATCCTGAAAAATCTTGGCTGTTCTTGCTATGTTAACTATTGCAGAATGTCTACTGCATTCGTTCACCAGCCAACGGGATAGCGGTAATTTAAGTGTAATAACCGATCAACTGATCCCTACTGGACATCTAAATGACAAACATAAAACATTCAAAATCTTATATAGAATACCGTCACAAGTTAACCATCACTTGGAATCACGACTACTTGCCACCGCTGAAGTGGTAAGCATCAGTTTGGCAAAACCGCAGCTGTGCCTCCAGCTTCTATGGCCAACAATCCGCCTAGCCACGCTGTGTGCCATCAATCACCTGATTACCTAACGCCTGTTCCCGCTCTGTGCACTCCTATGGACTTTGCTTTTGTCATTGTGTACTTATGTGTTAAGTCTAGTTATGAATAAATCGAAAACAGTCGTTTGTTTGAACTGCTGCGCTCTGGTTTCTTCCATTGATATACTATAAATCAGCTTTTCACATGAAATTAAACCGTATAATGTTGACGTGCACTTCCCAAAAATCCAGTGGTAAGCGCCACTGACAAAGTACATTACGGCAGGCGTCAGTTCGACGAATCAAATGAGCACTCTGTTCTCACTTGATCCTCTTGCGGTCGCGGAGCTACTGATTGCCGTCCTTGGCTACTCGCTAATGTATATTCCCATCATTTGCTGTTGTTTAAGCTCGATCAAACAGGGTTTGGGACCATTAACTTGAAGTTTACGCTGTACTGCTCTTGATGTTGGTCGCCTGTTTTCTCTATCACAATAGCATTGAGGAATGTATCGATTTCATGCGCGTAAATCTGGGCCTTGTACTACATGAGTTCGGTTCATCATGCTCTTATTGCTCTCCTGTCGTACCTGGATCCGTCGCCACACCTCGATGTTTAGATCATCGCAGTTTGACTACAATGAACTACCACGCCTCATCATCACCAAACTTTAATCCGAGCTAACATTGCTGACACTACAGCCTCTCTCAGGGATAGAAATGTATCAGTTATTATTAGTCCCCTTTTTTACTTTTGCTATTATTACTTCATTGCAAGTTTTCTTACGCTTTCGATACCCCTCAGTGGAACCGGTTGATTCGTTGTGTTCGGGTTATTGCCTCTTACCTTTACACACCCAATGATTACGACTTTTTAATCCTCCCTTTTGGCCTGTTTGCACAACTTCCACACCATCTTTCCTAGCGGTTAATTATTAGTTACAGCGTTGCCGGAAACTGGATTCACCCCATCATTGTTCCCATACGGCATTAACTTGCGTTTTTGATCATCTCCAGCTTGTTTTACTCGACACTTGTTAGCATTTGCTATCGTATTAACACTACAATCATATGGTTACGGCTTTATCTGGTACTTTTAGACTCATGGGACGACTTTTCGGAACCCGGTTTTCAGCCAAACATAAATGTTTGCTCTGCTCCTGATGGAAGAACAAATAACAACTCTTCACACCCTACCGAACCGCTCACCGGTCGGACTTCTCGACTGTATAATGACAGTCCACCGCTTGCTGTACCTCATCCATCCCCGAACACTGGTTGTCCTGTGAATACATTTTCGAACTCAGTGGTGTTCAACTCCGTGCCCGTTACACTTTCCAACAATTCTTTCCCGGATCACCGCCGCCTGGTTCAGCTGCCCTCTCCACTTCCGTCATCATCATCCTCCCACCGCCCATGCGTCCCCTTATCACATCAGACAACAATTCCTCTGCGTCTCCCAGCACCCAACGCTCGGACGGCGATGTCGCAGTTGCTAACTGCTAGTTCTGCTCCGACTGGTGGAGGAAGCACTGATTTGTCGGACAACACACCGTCTATGGAACTTCACTCAATGAGTGTACGCGATGATGCCGGATCGAATTCTGTCAGTGTGCTCCAGATGAATGCTGCCGGCATGGATCGAATGTCAACTATGCACGCCGCCAAGAAAGTTAATCAGAAAGCTGTTAGCTTGCCCTCCGTGTCAACCTCACTTCCTTGTCGTGGTGCTGAATTACAAGCTGCTGGTCTTTCTCCTCCTGTGCATGCTTTAAATTCGGGACCAGAACAATTCGCTGCACCTCAAGGTGCAACTACAACAGTGACCTTTTTCGTGTGTGAAGTGTGTGCTTCGCGTTACCGTTCCACCGCTGGATTACGATATCACTACCACAGTCAACACTCTGGGTACACACCAAAGAATCCAATCTCCGCATCTGCTTCTCGGTTGGTGGTTCCTGTTGGCGAAGAGCGTGGTATCGGCGGTGGCCTCCGTGGTGGTCGACCAAGGAGGCACAAAGGTAACTTTATAGCCATCTGCCGTTATCGACTGTAGACCTGTTTTTCGCACGATGCCATGTTACTTTTACACTGTAACTTTTTCCCTCCGTACTGAGATGACAGTGTTAAAAACTTCCTTTAGCTAGCTTCATCCTTCTCCCCGTCTTTCTGCATCTGTTTTTAACAGCTGTGGCTGTGGACGGTAGAGTCGGCCGTCCTCGTAGCAAAGAGTGTGAAAGCAAGAATCCGTCGCGCTTCGGACTGCCGGATGCTGTTGGACCGGGTCTGATTGCCTCAGTTGACAACGAAGGTACAGTATCCTCCCTTCGCAATATTTGCTGTTATGCGTTATGTAGGTCATCTTGAAGTGCATTGCAGTCATCATCTCGGGTCTATGCACCTTGATGACACTCGAATTCGGTTGAATTTTTTGCACACTGCAAAGCATTTCGGTTAACTGAATTTTGATTGTATTCCGGTGGGACGATTATTGTTTGTGCCTATATTCACAGTGGTGTGTGTGTGATTCTGCTTCAAAACTCCATCAGAGTTGGCGAGCGCACGCGAATTGCGCTCTGTGATGCCTATGCGCGCACTTCTGGAGATAGAGCTATGACGCATTTTGTGCCCAAACACTGGCTATATTGACGGACGAGATGTGTGAGCCGAATACCGGTTTTCATTGACGTTACACTTCACTCATCCGCCTACCTTGAACTTCCGGAAGGCAGTTTCATTTTTGACGCGTTCCACTTAGTTGATACATGGAAGACGAGTTTGCCAAATAGTCGGACGTTTTGTAAGCGCGGTAGCGGTGTCCCCCAGAGCTATGCACGATTGCTTGAAACTGCTTACTGGGCTCCCAAGTGGAACACCCGAGTACTCCACCACACGCCAATTTCCGTAACATATATCGAGTAGGGGCCGCAGTTGGCGAAGCGATGATAGTGAAACAATCAGTTGATTAACTCTGTTCATTGCGTCGAACATTTCTAGACTCGACGAAACCTGCACCCTGTGCTACCATCACAGGTCAGCTTGAGTAGTCGAAGTCACAGCCCCCGGCTTAAATGACAATTGATGCAATCTACCGTGGTTTAGCTTTCATGACTCCATTCTGTCATTGCAGATTGGCGTCGGCAACTCACTGGCTTTATTCATCACTGTCTTGCACTAGGCCACTCTTTGCTTTAACAGTAACGCCGTTCTTTCTGGTCAACTCAGACATGCTCCCACTATTCTTAATACGGTATTATGTAAGCAAGTAAAAATCTAACCATATCAGCTACATCGGAATTTGAGCAAAATCGTTGAAAAAGCAATCCACGGTCTGTTAAGATACTGATTGTTCCTCAAGTTCTCATGTGGCATCTTAAATTTCGTAAAACTCACGGTAACTTGAGACTCACGAACCTGAGATGTCATTGTCATAGGTAATCGTTCTCGGAATCTAACACTGGAGAAGAAATACACATCTAACAATGTTTTGAACTGCAGTGCTGTTTTCCTTCATTTATTGCTACGGCAAACTATTCCAAACATTGACCACTGACCGTTCAAGGGGATGGGGAACTCGCTTCAGATCTGGGACCAAAAGCCACTACTTGTGTCCGCGTACCGTTCAGGGTGCTGGCAAGTGAAGCACGGGTCTCAGCCTAGGAAAGTCACTTAGATGGCTGGGTTGAATATCGGATGGAATCTAGATCAGTTTGCTTGGCAATATATCTTGAACTGCTCACGGTTAAGCATTTTGGCCGCTATCTGCATTGGTAGATGAGACATTTCTCTGCATGCCTTCAACTGCTACGATCGTTGCACACTGGTTGAATGAAACTCAGGAAACACTATGAATTGACAGTTTATCTATCACACAAGGCATGAGATCTAGCACAAAAATCAAACCATATAAGGACGTGCCGTGTTTCCAAAAACTTTCCAACGGGAACCACAAGGGGATTTCTTCGGCATTGTTAAAAATGGTGTGAAAATGACGTCATCATCTTAAATCAATAACATAAGTACATCAGCCATTTGAACTGATACTTCGTTGCTATACAACCATAATGACGTACGGAACGAAGAATAATAAGGGAGAGAGAAGGGCTCTTACCAGAATACCTTAATACCCTAAGCATACCTCCACGTTCAATTCGCCTACACCTTGTCAACAACATACCGTCACAAACAGCTGGCTATCATGCAAAGATCAGGCGGCATTGGTTAGACAGCTTCTTTGCGGCGTTCACTGCCCCGCGTCATAATCATTCATTACCCCGCGGATAACGCAGCAGGAAGCACACTTTCAACTGGCAGTCTGACTAAGAGGCGACAGCAGACACGCCACTGGTGCCGACTGCGAGCCATACCCTATAAAGTCTCGAGTCAAGCACAAGGTGGGTCACGTGGACACCAGCCTGGAAGGTGAGACGGACCGATGGCACGAAGTTTGGTCGTCAGTGACTTTATTTCCGGCCGCCAAGTCAATTTTTGTCCACTTCGTGCTTGGCAGACTAAACAAGACCCTCCTAGGTAAGCGGTGACAAGGCATACTTAGTAAGTACCATAGCCAGCGCAACTTATTCAGTGCTATCTGTTGTTCTAAGGGACTAGCTTCGTTATCATTGCCTAGCACTCGCCTATGCACATCATCGTTTCAGACACGCTAGTGCCATCTGACACCAGCAATGCTGGGCAGACAGCGATGATCAAGTACTTGACGATGCCTCAGATCCTCGGACCGAAGGGGCCAAGTCTCCCTTCTATGGAGTAGGACGACGCTCACTGTGGCCTACTAAACACAGTCTTTCAGACGAACAATAACTCCTTTCTGTCGCCAAACCTTTCGCAGGTTCAAGATGGTAATGCGTGAGCCGACCTCAGTTTCTATGCGCCCATCGTTGCTGATGCAGCGGTCAAGGTAATTGAATCGATCAACCAGCTCGAATCCGTCGTTATCAAGGGTCAAGGGGTCATAAAATCGCTGGTGGTCCTGCACCAACACTTTGCACTTTGAAAGCGCGAAGCGCATACCAAATAATGGGACCACTCTAGACAGGCTATGCGGGGTTGATTTTGCCGCCCCGATATCGTCAAAAAGCAAGATGATGTCATCCGCATAATCAGGATCAATTAGCCTTTCACCAGGCAGAAACTCAACGCCTACATCTTGCGATTCCGCAAGTGAACACTGCACGATGGAGTCCACAACGAAATTGAACAAAATCGGGGAAGTCGAACAACCCTGACAAATGCCAATTGTTGTTGCTAGCTATCCCACAGGTCACCGCAGACCCTGCCGCGGCGTGTTGTTTTCCACTATAAAGCACGCAAAATGCTGACGTATTTCGTGGGAACATCTTTCCGCGCCAGTATTTTGAACAGAATGGATCGATCGACTGAATCGAACGCACTCTTGAAGTCGAGGAGCACAGGTATTGTCGGTCGGCGGTACATGTGGCGCTGCTCTAGCACCAGCCACAGCGTGAATATATAGTCTAAACAACCACATCCGGGGCGGATACCAGCGTCCTCTTCCCTAATCCGAGATTCCCGTTCCGCACTAAGGCGACGAACGAGAATCGAGACCAGTAATTTTGTCACAACTGGTGTTAGGCTAATACCCCTGTGGTTAGCACAGTCTGTGCGACTGCCCTTCTTGTATATTCCCACTATAATCGATTCACTCCAGTTAGTCAGGACATTCTCTTCCTTCCATACATGTTCGAATAGAGGTCAGTGCTTTGCAGAGGACCTCACCTCCATCCATAAATAGTGCAAGTGGGAGGAAATCCGGGTCAGCAGCACGAAAACGATTAATGCCTGTTATCGCGTTTCGGACCTCAGCCTTCGATGGAGCCTCTAAAGTAACCAGCCATGGCTCGTCCTGCTTCATCTGAGTATGAAGAGTTTTAGCAGCAGGTGGCCATACGGCATTCTTTCTTGTGAATCCTAACACCCCGCGCTGTCTGATTGTCTCACTGGCGCCTGGTTTCCTGGGACCAGCGAATCAGCTGGAAGAGCTTGCGACATTTGCTTACTGCTCCTGCCTCCACTACTTCTTGTGCCCGACTGATCCACCAGGCCTCATCGTCAGCACGCATGCTCCGCTTTACTTCGCATCTAACAGCCCACACAGTGTGCTCAGAGCCAGCCGAGTTTTCTTCTGGATTCCTTCAGGTTCACCAACCTCTCGGATATTCAATGACTGGTGCGGTGAAGATTGGTAGTGCCACAAGCAGATGCTCATGCGTCGTGCTTGGCGATCGAAATCCTATTACACTGAAGCTGTGTCATTAGGACAAGGGAGCAAAAGCTCGGTACATCGGGCATCCTGGTAGGCTTGCTTGACGGCGGGCTGAGACAATTTCTGTGTTGCCAATCGAGGGAGGCGCTTGGTACGCCTCCTGGTAAATGTATGTTCAGAGTCGACGCAGGTATTTCAGAACGAGGGACAATCCAGGATGGAACCACGTTACTTGTAACGTTTGTCAATGTGGTTAATTTGAATCTATCGCTGGCCAGGTACAGGAGGACGTCAAATAGCACTTCGGTACCTACTGTGTCTAAAAGCAATGCTACCGAGGAACAACTGGTGCTCCGCACACGGTTGCTACAGACGCTCGCCATTGTCAGCCCTTTTGGAGTTAAGCCCATAATTACCACCCAGCTGAGTTTCTGAAGAGCTAAGATGACCTGCTTGCGCATTCATATCCCCTGCAGTTACTGTGGTATCCGAACTGGTAACACTGCATAGTGGCGTGTTCAGTACGTGGTATGATATGTCCTTGGCAGTATCATAACTACAGTCGGTGGGAGCATAAGCGGAAACCACAAACAAACTGCGTCTTGTACAGCTTTGTTAATCAACCTTGGTTGATGTCGTCAAACGGGCAGTTCACCGGAATCCAATCAACCAACGATGACAGCCTTCGAGTTGTGAACCATGTTACCCAAGCTTGACCCGGGAGTGCTGCATCAGCGTCTAGGGAGGCGTGCAACCAATAGCGGGAGGACAAGCCGGGCGCAATTAATTCAACAAACTCATTAGGGTCATTGATCCTAGTCTCGGGCACATAACGCGCTTCACTACCTTGTGTGTCCAAGGTGCGTGCGAGTGCAACCTATTGACCTATTTGTCCCATAGTTCGAGCGTTGAACGCCGCCCTGGAAACAGGACAGCGTAGCCTTATAATAGACTGTTTCCGATAGGCTTCCAGTGGTCTTTACAAGGTGGCTGCAGTTGGTGTCGCTCCAGTGGCACTGCGGCTGCCGTTAATTAAGCTGAACATTATAGATGAAAGGTAAGTAATGGGGGTTGGGATGGTGGTAAGAGAAACAGGTGGCAAAGAAAGTAGGGAGGCGGCAGCGATAGCATGTTTTCGCTTATCCGCCCTGCTGTCGTCAGTAGATAATCTGCGCGACGGCCAATGCAGGATGTGATTGAAGTTTAGAGAAACATTCATGGTTGTACGTGAGCTGAGATACTGCGAGGCTGCCCAGACATAGACCGGAGGAAGATTAGGGTCTTCAACCAAAGCGTTTAACTCAATAGTCTGTCCACAAGGCAGCGATGTGGTTGCAGTGATTAAGTTTTACAGAAATGGATTCCATCCCATTTCAAACCCACAGCCTGCAGGACCAGGAGGCTGAGTTTGTCTGACATCTAACCCTTGACCAACCTGGTATAAGTAATTCTCAAGGGGCCCGGAGACACCACCCAGTTTAGTTTAGTGGGTCAAAGGGGTACGCAAACCGTTGCACCACGTAAAGGTTCGCTTTCGTCGTGACGGTAAAGAAGGAAGATAGCATCAGCAATACGCCTGTACGCAGTACCGACGCTTCGCTGCAGCGCAACCACCGCCGGTCGCACCTGGGCTAAGGATGCTGCGATGGTCGCCCTACCCTTGCATGCTCGAACCCTCACTGCAAGGTTTCCATACAAGCTTGTTTCCCTTAGGCGACCCGACGAAATAAGACATGGAACTGATAATGCCGAAATTTCCCCAAGATATTTACAATTTGTTGACGAACCCATCGGGAGACTATCCCGACAACCTCCATGGGATAATCAACCGGACGCCGCTAATCGCAGATGAGTTAAGTTCATGCGGCAGTCCGGGTACACTGCAGTTGTTCCGAAAAGTGATCACAAGGTAACTTTAGCCCTGTCCTTCAGCTGTGATGATAATTATTTGATCACAGTGACTTATATCAATGAATGTCTCAGAAGATTTGTCACCGAGACACTCTAAGCTGATGTTATTGAAAGGAAGCCGGCTCTTAGGGTTAGGGGGCATGCCGTAACAGAACGCAAATGTGCCCCATTCATTGTATGCTAAGACGGTGAGCTTTCCACACTTGTCATTCTACTACCTTTGAAATCACAACTATTCACACTGCTGATTGACTGTCTGGAGAAATGTGGATGCTTTGATAGGAAAAGACGGTGTGCACATCTATCCCATACCTGAGGCAAAGCATGAAAAATGCAGAAAGCCACACATTTCGATTGTGAAATGAATTGTCTTTGTAACTAGTTACATTTTTGAGGACTTTCGCGTGGTGGTACGACACCTCGCGATGAACTGGCGCAACTTTTATCACAAATGCAAGCTTTATCGATTCACAATGGCCGGCTTAGGTTTCGATGCTTCGGCGTAATCACCGTACACGCGACCATCGTCGGTTACACGAAGACAAATCGTCAGTGTTATTTGTCGATGTGCTGTCGATGCTTTTGTTGTTTGGGTATGTGCCTACAGACTGGTGGTCGTCGATATTCATCCTTTTCATTACACAGGAAGAAGACGTTTTGATCCAAAATCACCATTACCGCCGATTTACATCGGGACAAAATAACGCAGTGGCAAAGATGTCTATACCTTAAAAGTCATGCGAGCTCCATCATCCAGCCACAAATCACATTGCTCACATCTCACACCTGACTGTGCCGGAACATCGCCACACAGATGACATACAATGCTCGCCCCATTAGCTTCTACAGCCGTTTTCATCCGACTGATCTCACATTTATGTTACCGCACACCCTTGAAAGTTGTTGTATGAATAAACTCCCTGAACCCCCTCCATGTTCGCCGCCACTGGCGGAGTGCGTCAGAGCTGCTCCATTTATTTTCAACTTTGTACTCAATAGTGGCCACCCCGGCTGATTCGTCCTCTGTGCATGTCTCTTCACGCCATCAGCTACTAGGGTTATCGCGCTTGAACCACGGCCCTTTCTAAGCTGGATTAAAACCTACATGTAAGCGTTGTCTATTGGACTGATTCAGAATGTTGTGCACATCATCATGTGCTTCACGCTTCGCGAATGTGACGTGCTCTTACAGGATCTGGTCGGTAGTTGTACTTACGCACTTAAATTCATCCTATCTGACGACCGAGTCACTGCTGGAGCTACTGCACATTCCGGAAATGCACGTTTCGTTTACGATGACTAAGCCACCCATGTAAGCCGCGAAACATCCACCCACCGGCCATTGCTGCTTTAATGGCCATCATTATTGCAATGACTTTGCCAGATATCCAAGACATTTTGCACACGAAGAAATTGCTTGTCTCTGTGCACCGACGCCTTAGCAGCACTACTCACTGTGTGGCATCGCTTTCGTTGGGAGCACCGATTGGGTGACGTTGGCGTTCACCAGTTGGTGTTCGGTTATGGATCATCTACTGTTACACCGTACAGTCCACAGAACTTGACTCGTCCCTTTGTCCATCCATCGTTTTCCTAAACGTGTATAGTCTACTGTTGCTCAACTGACCTGCTGTGCCACATTGCTTCGTGTTGTCTGAGGCCCTTTTCTGGTATGATGCTATGAAGAAGTCATTACAACTTTATGTCGATTGTCTTCTTAGTTAATTGTTGATTTATCTGCTGTATTCGATGCTATACAGGACATCAACGAAACACACTCATGTTAGGGACTGTCAGCTATCACCATCATCAGTTGGTCACAGTAGAACGTCGTACTAGCCTTACTACGGGTCTCCTGAAACCAACCATACACCATCCAACCGATGCAACACTAGGCCCATAACAAACGGTCTGTGTCCTGACAAATGAATTCCTACTCAGTCAATCGGTTGATAAACAACAGACAGCCTTTTAAGCTCACACCAGGGGGATAACCAATCAAAAGGACAGGATCTTCTCACCTACAAACCGGAAGCTTTCGGTTTTTTTTGTGTTTTTGGATGCTCCATTAGCTACTATTTGATCGCACGTTGAATGTGCTGCTCTTAGGGTGCTTGCATTGGTGATCGCTTGCATCAAGTAGTTTAACTTGCATCTCAACTAAATAGCGTTATTGCAGTGACACTGGAAACCTACAAGTGCAAGATGTATGAGACCTCAAGTACTCGGTAGTTTGATAGCGTTCCGAAATGGCTGGCGAGAGTCTCTTAAAGCTTGATCATTGGCAGTGCAATTGCATGGCTGTTTATGCTCAATTTGCAAACTCTGGGTGGAGGTGATCTCACTTGTTGTCATCAGAGACCAGAACAGCAGTATGCATGTAGAACTATCACTTTAGTACCTTTTGCTTTTCCCTAACTTGGCATGATCCTGGTACCCACGTCAGTTTGGAACCGTTACACTTTAAAGAGTGCGCCGTGTGAACTCTTTCCACTCACTCCAGTCCCTCGTTAGTCGCCATCAGTGTTTTTCTTAGCTGTTTCACGAACTTGCTTCAACCGGTACATGCGCCTGACTTCGCTATATCTCCTTGTCTAAAAAAATTCGTGATCAGTGCTTACGCGCGACATTGCCTCTTTTTCTTCTGCGATATACTTTTACCAGATTTCAGGCCGACAGCCATGGCAGATGCCTAAAGATCTTGCACGGAATGCTGCACGCTTCTGCATGCTTTATCATCTTCGAAGTACTTCGTACTGCTTTATGCTGGGTGGGCGGCACAATTCTACCGCTCACCTACCAACTAAAACGTCTGATCGATTCACTTTTCCAGGCACTTGTGTCGTTTCTTGTGTTTAAATTATCGAAATGCTTATGGCGCGTAGTACGAAGGACCAACGTAACTTTTTGGCGTCTCTATCATATACGGAAACTACCCGGTGTGCAGCGTTGCGATAAGACCAATGTCAACCTATCTACCAAACACATGATCACTGCGCCTTGGTGATACTTTGAGTACTAGTCAGTCGCTAATGTAGTCCACCAACTGCTTTTTTGTTGCTTGTTGAATTTGCATCGTTTATGTTGGTCCGTTTTGTGGCCATTCGATTACGTGGTACAGATACATGAGGTAATTGGCTGAGAAAATTAGCCTAGCTGATGTTTGCATTCCTTTTAGTTAGGGACGTAAGATCGGTCATATCAGTTGTAATGCTTTTCCAAAATGGCGCGTTCCTGGACTAAGTGGCGCCAATGTATGCGGCTTCTTGTATATAGCTTCTTGCCTCTCCACGAAATTATTCATTTTCGTCTAATTCATTTTTCATTGCATTTCCCCCGTAAATTCCTTTATTTCCCCACCTTTGGTAATCATTGCTACCATAGCAGTTACATCCAGGTGTTCGGATCGAAGGGTGGTGTACTCGTTTACGACCTCCGCTTCCGGAGTTCTAGTCCTTTCTCATGCCCAGGTTTGGCGCCGTAGTACTTTCCAAGCCCGCGTACAGCCGCTTGCAATCGCGTGATAACGATGTCTACAAGGCACGAAACATCAGACATTTTGTGATTTGTATGTTCTTCGAGTACCACAGCCCTTTTCCTTATGAGGGTGACCGATGGAACAACGGATCGCTACTCAAAGAGTAGTTTTAATGCGCCGGAAAACCCGTATCCCTCATCACTTTAGATAAACAATTTCGATTCACTGGAATTTTGTTATCTTCCAGTATCGTTTTGCTAATGCATTGCGTATGGCCGCTTGTCAATGTTTGATAACTGGGATCGCAAATCCGTTATCTTACATATCAGTGGCCACCGAACGGTTCTAGAAAATTCGAGACTAGCATATTTATTCCATTTGCCATCCATTCATTCCAGTCGGTTTCGTCAATCGATGTTTCTATGCCATTCGCATCGCTTCAACCCTTTTAGCCTCCGGAGTCGTTCAATCGTTTGCCTGCTCTCCATCTCGAGATCCAAGCGTAGCATCTTCGCACGGTTACCTGTCTTCTTTGAACCGCTCTATTAATCCGGCGTTTCATCCCAGCGAAGAACCCAATGTTTCCAGTCGCTCATGCTCCTCCAGGGCCTATGTCTGCACTCCGGGTGCTGAGTATTCCCTTAGCGGGCCAGGTGATGATACCAACATTGTCCCATCAAACAATCGGACGTCTACGTTTGCGCCATCATCGATGCACGCACTCCCAGGCGGACACTCCGCCTTCGAATTATCGCATGCCACTGTGTCAGAGCGATCACAACATACATTCTCACTCACATCACCTGTGGACTGCGCAGCATCAAATCTCGGTCCCAAAACTTATTCTTCATCGATGCATTCGGGAAACCCGTTTAATAGCTCTGTCAGCTGGGTGCCTTCTGATGCTTCGTTCCCACTGGTCCATCCGGACACCTCACAGGCATACGGTCCCTATAGAGCGAGTGCAGCCCAGCGACGTTTCGACCGCCAGCGTTGTGCTGATTTATCAAACACGAATCATCCAATTGGATCCTCATGCACGCCTGTGTGCGTGTATTGTCTTTCGGACGATCGTTTAAATCCCCGTTTGGGGCGTCCAGAAGGACTGTTACGGTGCTCTCGCTGTGATACTTGGGCTCATTTCACGTGTCTACAGCTACCGGCTCACGTGATCGAACTCGCAATGCGCTACCCGTGGCAATGTATTGAATGCAAAACATGCTGGTTTTGTGGCTCAGCCGAACAAGAAGTGAGTGATAGTGCGTTTTCGGTTACATTGTTTTTCTTTTGTAGAAGGGGCACCCCCTCTCTCTTTTCTCTTGTTCATCTGCGTGTGCATTTGCATTGTTGTTGACTCGCGTTTACAGCAAATCAATTTTTTGGATGAATGCATTTTCATCGCCTACGCTGTTCGTTTACTGAGTATGTGTAACGCATCCGGGGAATCTTTTTCTAGGTCCATTGGGCAATGCCTCTCTGTTAATGCAGAGCTTTCCTCTGTTTGCTCATTACAATGGATCTTGATTAATCTGGAGATATTTCCACATAGTGCTTTGCTTCAACCCGAAACAATGACACTCTTATTCGCACTTTTAATCAGTTGTTTAAAAACCTATAACTGAAAGGGTATTTATAAATAATTGGTACCTTTCTCGAAGGGGCGAGACACAAGCCAACTACGTGGTCTGATCATTCGATGTTGGTTGTCGACGAATCGGCGCAGCCGCATACACTCTTCACCGTCTCCTGCTTCCACAACAGATCTACGCCATATGGCATCCCATTGTCTCACTGATTTAACTTTCGGAGGTAGTCTGCTTATTCATTATTGTGACTCTCATTTTGAATCAGGTTTCCCAATTACTAGTTGTTGGCTTGATGACCGTTGTCGCAACTAGCAGCACTGTCGGTGTGGGGGATTGCATCTGAGTGAAAACCAATCGT